ATTATTTGATACAATAAAAAATAAACATTCGTAACCAACTCATTGTGCAATTTTTTCTTTCCTCTGTTTCCCAAGTATACTGTGGTCTGCATTTACTTAAAAAAAGAATTACAGGGATTGCATCGTGGAAACCTATCTACCAAACATATCTCCTCGTTGTTCTCTTCGTAAATTTTGCGGCAAAATTTTGTACTGCCGCAGAAATTTTATCTCAGTTTCTTACACTGCTGGCGAATTCCAGAAGCGCATATTTTAAAGCCGAAGCAAAAAATAACGATTTGTTTATAAACACAGTTGAATTTGGAGTGCGACAAAAAAGAATGTATATGAAAATGGGGACGTTGGCTTGACTGAAGGACTTACACTAGCATGGTTGCCAAAGTTCGGCACATTCTAAAAATCTATAGACTTCTAATCGGGGAGGGTGGGTTGCGATAACACGCAAGTACCAAATATTTCCTAATCGTAAATCAAAGAAAATATAATACTCTTCTGTTATCAGCACCGGATTCGGAAATGTATGTATACACTTGTGTATATATGTGCGTAAACACATACATACGTATGTAACACGAACACATATCCATCCGTACTTGCATACATTTCTGAATTGGGGGGGGGGTTGCGATAACACGCAAGTACCAAATATTTCCTAATCATAAATCAAAGAAAATATGGTATTCTTCCGTTATCGGAACTGGATTCAGAAATGTATGTATACACTTGTGTATAGATGTGCGTAAACGCATACATATGTATGTATACAAGAACACATATCCATCCACACTTGCATACATTTCTGAATTCGGTCCCGATAACAGAACAGTAGCGAATATATATTGGATAATTTTTTGGTATACATACAAATGTAATTTTGCATATATTAAAGAAATATCCATATACTCATACTAATGAGCTGGGTCTGCTCGTTTACTCTTACACAAAGACTTGAATCTTTAATGAATATTTGATAATATAAGATCTAGAATTTCTTCTGTATTGTCAGATTTAATAGATATCGAGTCATGAGATTTTTTTTTAGTATTAGCATATAATTCAATATATTTTGTTTTCTTACTTTCTTTAATGACATAAATGTCATTTTAATGAACGGAATGCTGAAAATACCGTTTCACATAAATGCATAGCATAGAGTGTTAGAAGTTTGTTTAATGAAGTTTCAGAAAGTACCATAAATTCTTAGACACAACCCAAAAACTCATTAACCGTTTTTGGAAAATTTAAGCGTTAAAAAAAGCCGGTAAGTTTGATTGTAAATTAATGGCATTAATCATTTCAAATGAGTATGGTTTATCAAATTAAAATTTGAATGAAAAGTAATTTTGAAGCTTATCTCTGTATTTTTGAAGCTTATCTCTAGATCTTTCAAATGAAATCTTTGGAAAGGTTATTTTTGGTTATCCGTATTTTTCTACCAATGGGGTGAAACTTACAGCCAAACAAACTTTGGTGAGAAATTAATTAGATGACAGTAACCTTAATGTTACGTAAAGCTTCAAAAAAGAAGGTTTTATTAAATCCAAAATAAATATCAAATCCCAAATGGATTTTACCAGATTAATTTCAGATTACACAGGAGGAATTTGAAACAGCCAATTTCATTTAATACTGTGCTGAGAACTTTCATCTTTTCATGCAACCGCAGCCTCACGAATTCGATGAATGTAGATGATGATGGCCAGTACCGTGCCAATATCTATTTCACAGTTTTGGACACTGCATTCCATATTAGGTTCAATAAAAATGTATTTGTGGTTAACTTGCAAATGTTTACATCTGGCAGCTGCCAAGTTGTCTGCTTAACTAAAAATCTAGGAAGATTTCTGGGCTGATCTTTACTTGCTTATACGCAACGACGTATACTGCATACGATACATGCATTGCGCAGCTATTAATGACGGGATAAGAAAGAGCAACCACATTTTGCGCTCTAACAGGATGCGAATGGCATCTTGTTAGAGGATTGGATTAGATTAATTATGGCAAAGCACACGAGGGCTATCTGCCTAAAGGAAAGGATGCCTTCGTGGAGGACTTTCTAAGGGAACTGGCTCGTATACACATTACACATGGGGAAAAACCACGAAAACGCCCATGCAGCCAGCCCGTGTGCGGGATTCGAACCTCGGACCGAACTGCTAGTGTTCTTTACCGCTCGGCCGCTGGTGGGCTCATCCGATTAAAGGAAAATTACCAAAACACCTATAGCTGTATTTCTATAGCTCCGTATATTACTTTATTTTCAGTATGTTCAAATTATTAACTGAACTTGAAATTTTATATTACAAACTTGTAATTATTTCATTGAAATGACAATGTTTTAAGTCATTAATCCTTTTAAAACTACGCATAGTTTTAAAACCTAACTTATTGCAAAAATCACAGAAAGTCGGATTTCTTCACTTAAAAATACAACAGCTTCATACTTTAATAACCTGCATAAACTTCTAGAAAGCCATCGTACTTCTGCACGTATATGGTTTGGCAATCGAAACTCAGATCTTTATAAAGGTTTGAAAACAGACGATTGTTAAGAGTTTAAACTTATTGTTTTGGGAAGAACGGTGCTACGAGTGCTTCCGGATGAATTTCACAATTGATTTTTAAAAAATGTTCATTGTTATAAACTAACTATGATACAAATTCAATATTCTTATCCACCTTTGTCCCCCGCACGTGTTGTGCAGACACTGACGCAACCAATACGAAATCTTATTAGTGAAAATTTAATGAAGTTTAAAACAAATGCCTCCAGCTCTTGTGCGCACTCGGAAAGGGCTATAAAACAATTTTCAAATATAATTCTTTCATATTATTCATCCTTACATTAAAAGATGAGAATGAAGTTGTAAAGATAACTGGCATCAATCTGTGGAAGAAAAGATTATGCTAAACTCAACCAAAGTTTTTAAGGATTGTAGTTAACAATTCCGAAAATTTTTGACAAATTTAAAAGCTGAAAACTTAGCCTGAAAATGAAAGAATTTGAATCAGAATTCCCGTGCAATGAAAATCGTCAGTTCAAGCACGAGAACTCTGAAAATATTCTACCATGAAATTTTTGTTTCCGATTCAAAGTTAAGCTTTGCTTCGACCTATGAATAAAAGTAGTTTCAATAGCGCAAGCAAAGGCTTTGACTGTACATAAATGCAATTCGCCAGCAACTACATTGCTGTTATTTTAATCTACATGAAAACAAGGTTCGAAGGAGTTCTGGGAGGGTTTGAAGGCCCAAAGCTTAAGCGATAAACAGGCCCTACGAGTTTACAAGAAGTAAACAATTATTTGGTTTCTAAGCCACCATCTATTTAATACCCAATTTGGTTAATCTTCGGATTATGGTAACTTGGCGATATTTTGGCGACCAACCTTGCTAAAGCAACCTGCTAGTTTTTTCTTGGACGCCATTTTGTTTTCACGAAGTAAAGGCCTTTTTTTAACTCAATATTTTTTTTTCAACAATAACAATCTGCTAGCCGAATTACGCTTTTATGGACTTTTATGAAACAAAAGTGCTTAATCATGACGAAGATTAGGTGCGAAATTGGCAGAAAGTGCAGAATCGCCCACTGCTTGCCGCGTTTTTAAGAATTGCACATACACGGTATCCATGTACACGTCGACCAATTTTCACTTAAAAAAACATCCCAGAATTGCACAAAAATGGCATTGCGCACACTCTTGACTTTATCCATGTACACTGCTAAAGTCCTAGCTAGTAACCTTTATCACCTTACCAAAATGTCGCCAAACTACCTGTTACCATATTCCAAAGATTAGCCCAAAATTTAAAACGTATTTGCAAATTTCTATAAATTAACAATACAATTCACAAGTTTCTAAATTTATAAGTATTGAGCAGCATTGAATGCTTTGCATTTCTTTAATAAAATTATTTCCTAGAAAATCTAGATTAACTGTCTCGATTTTATTCAAAACTACTGTAAAAGAAATTCAGTTTTTCTATACACTGATACTTTTCTTGTATTCTGTAACAATACGTATATAAAGCAGCAAATTAAATCTGAACTTGATTCGCTCAAGGAAATTTTCCTTACTCTAAATATTATACTAAGCTTTTATGGACAGACTTGCTCGATTCACTAAACTCAAATTACGTTGCTGTACAAAAACATTTACATGGAACTCAAATTTAGCAATTAATAGAGATTCCTGAGTACATTGTTATAAGGATAAGGAGGCTTTCGTGTAGAACTTAAGAAAAGGTGGCTCGTATTCACATTATACAAGGGAAAAGTACCCACGAAGTCAACTTTTTCTCCTCGTTTTAAACAATAGAGTTAAATACCTCCATGTGTCAGTTGCACATCTGTGAACAAACACTTAATGGAACATTATTATAATATGCTGATCTTTAACTGTAAAAGTGTTTCTCAGAAAACCTAAAAATCATTTCTAAGAAGTATTCAAACACTGTTCTTTACAACTGAAAATGCATAAAGAATGACAATTTAATTTTAGTAACCTTTTAAACATTTTATGGCTCATTCAATGATATCAATATATATGAATGAAGTAATTACTGTTCCTTCAACGACTATCACTTAATATGCGATAATAAACTTTGAAAGAAACATGAAATTTTTATGACATGCAAGCTTCCCTTAGCTAACATGAAAATGCTTGATAACAGTTTATGTTTAGTACATGAAGAGTTTTAAAAATGAGAAGATAACAAACAGAGAAGCTTTTCAAATTTAAATTAAATTGGGTACCTTGAAAAGTAAATTACCAATTTCAACTGCTTATGGGACTATAAAATTTATAGGTACACATCTTTTAATATTTATTCAAAATAATATGAAAATTTAAAATATTAAATTTCAAATGCTTGCAAAATATAAATAAAGTAAATTTAATTATATGACAATAGTTAAATGTTTAAAAATATCACTTCAAAAATTTACCCTTAAATGACACATTATGTTCAATTATTTTTATAAATAATTATACTTACATGAGATGGTAAATATACCCACTAAAAAACATCGCTTGACACAGGTCATCATGAAAAGACTATCACAAATAGTTTAAAATTTATGCTGCTCTAAAATACAAAACTTTTCTTAAAACACTACTTTAAAAGATAACTCTACCATCGTAACTATAAGTCAGAGGTAATACTGAGATTCTACTAGCGGTTATAAAATTCATTGATTCTTGTTGTAAACTCATGACAGCACTTACCTTCATAAATATTCTGCCCCGTACGGCACTTATTTTCGAAAAGATAAAAATTTACTAAACAAGACTAATCATTATATACGTATTTACATACTTAAGAATAAATTAATGGAAACCTTATTTTTCTGTTTCATTTAAAGGTATTGGTTTTAATTACGTCCTCTTAACTAATGTGTATACTTCACTGATCTTCCCCTTTATAACGTAAAGCAGATTTAATTTTCTGAAATTTCGAATAAAGTAATGCGTATTTCTGCTGCTTCTGTGTTATCATCTAAAGATATATTTTCATCTGTGTCGCTATTGCTGAAACAAAAAAACAAAACAAAACAAAATCAAGACTGTTTAAATTAAATCTCAACTATTATTCAGGAGTATGTTATTGGTAGTGCAAAGAATAATAAAGCCGGCAGCCCTGAAAAGTTTTTTCTTTAATGTGATGATCATACAGATGGATGAAAGTGCCTCATTAAATGTGAGATAAACTATGATTATTTTAAGGTATTTGAGAAAATACATTTTCCTCTTTGTATGCTTAATTTCAAATCAAATTTGCATCAATTATAACAGCCACTAAAAAGAATTTTAATATATTATTTTAACATATTTTGAATGATGTCGCCGTGCGACCTGATTTAGTCTCGTGGTGCTATCTATATTTAATTATTGAAACCATTGGGCGAAAGTTGCTTAATAATGATGTGTGCCGATAGGTAGCACAAATGCAACAAATGATCCATGTCCGTTGCTGCTCTACTAGAGTCAAGACCGTAATTCGGAACTTTTTAGAGCGGTGTATGAAGAATCAAACGTTCAAAGCAAAAGTGCACTTCATATGAATTTGAGATGCACCCTGTTTGAGAAACTTGAGTGCAGCTGAAATGCTCATACTGATATTCAAAATTCGGATTAACAATAGCATCTCGTACTAATAACTCTGTTTCTGGGCAAATTGGCTACTATACACTGTTTAACAGGGTCTGTCCTCGACTTTATGCAGCCCTGTACAAATTTCGCTACTCCAAAATTCTGCTACCCGGTTCTTTTCTAAATTCTAAAAATTTCTGAGCCCGCTCTGGCGCCGAATCTGTTGTTTAATAGCATGTTTCCGCGACTGCTTTAAGAAGCAGAATACCAACCAATTCCTCGTCATATATCAATACCACCGCAGATCAGTGTAAGAATTCGAATCCCGGTCTTCAAATGGAAATACTAAAATTATATATTGCTCTGGTATTCTTTATGATATCACTGAAGCTTCTGCGGTAATTTATCTTTATAATTATCTAGATATTTTTAATTACAATTTTGCCCAAGTGTCTGTTTACTTGAAAGATTTTTTGTATTTTCGTTCATCACTTAAAGCAGTGTTTAAAATGAATAAGATAAAATCAAGGACAAGAAATCTATTAGTTGGATCTTTTAATTTTCAGTTAATCTATTCTTTAAACAGTCAATAAAACTTAACTTGAGGAACAAACTTTTTTTTATTAAACATGTAATGTTTATCCTAAGTTTTTAGCAGTTATCTTTAGTTAAAGATACTTTCCTCCTAATTTCAGCTTACAATTTCCAACCAGAATGTGATTTTGGAATCGCGGTTAATGCAAATGAGTAAGAGAGGTATTTAAGTCCAAGTTCCACTGACTTCGTTAGAATGAAGCAACCAAATGAAGATAGCCGGTATACAGCTTGCAGCTTTGCAAGCTAGACGCGGCGACAACGGCAAACGGAACGGAACAGAACTTCGTTAGAGAGCCAGAGATTCTGACTAGCGCGCGTTTGCCATTTGGCTACACTCTCTCTGAACTATTACTACCGTCTTTTAAGCCCTTGATAGCTTCACCGGTCTAGTTGATATTTAGGGGCCAACTACTTAGAATTTTGATAGCGTCGGCTATATCTTTTAGTTAAGCATTAGTTGAGTTATTTCTTATTACTCTTGAGTTCAAGCCCAAGTGGAGGCTTTGCTGTACGCTCTGAGAAAGAAGCCGACTGTTTAATTCTTATTTTGAGGAATAAAGGGTAATTAACCCTTCTTGAGTTTTACGTGTGTTTCTGAACTAAAGCGAATTTTCGTTTACCTGTTCATGAGGTTCCTACACATTTAGCTGTTGGATAACAGGTTGATTCAAAAAGTTTACTCTTGTTTATTAATTATAATAATTCGGCTGAGAAGAAGTTTCTTCATTTTATTCGTGAATTCCTCACTTTGGACTCACTTCTCTCAAAAAAGTCATGGTTCATCTGTAGAGAAACGAGCCGATGAAAAGATTAGGCAAAAAGCAACCTCGGAATAGAATGGCTTTCAAATAAAACTTTACGAGTTAGAAGGTTATCTGACATAGAGCTTTCTCTTTCAGGAATAAACACTTTTACAAAAGTGGGATGAGCAAACAACCAAATAGATGAAAAAATCAATGGACTGAGCAAAGAGAAAACGGACATAGCGCCATCTCATAAGGGAAACAGCAATGAAACCTGAAAAAGCTGAGATATTTTAAAAGCATTGCGAAAAATTAGATATAAACTGATAACATTAACTAACGAAAATATGAATATTTGTGAATATAAAAGGTTTCAAGAAAATTAACGTAGGATTTGTGTTCCCTGATGTGAAATTTAGAGCCGTTTTAATTGGCTGATTTATATTAAATCATACTGACAAGAAATGCTGTAAATTCCTCAAGAATTAAAATTAAAGTTGCTTTCTTTAAGACCCGAATTTGTGATGAATCCGAGAAATTTAGTCATTAATAGACGGATAAAATTAACGATGGGCTAGAAAATAGCATAAAATTTCAATTTGTGCTGTCCTGTTGGCATTGTGGTGGAAAAGCAGGCTGCGTTAGCCTGGAAATTGGATTCGAATTCCAGATAAGGTATAGGGGATTGTAAGTGTATTGTGTCTTTGTGGCATGAGTATTGCAGAGCCAAAAGTCCTTTCGAGAAGTTTCTCAAAGGGAACAAGAGGTAAGAAACCTTCATATTCGTCTCCCGGGGCGCTCTCCATCAAACATGGGAAGTATCTAGGCAAAAAGCAACAGTCACCTATAACTCGCCTAAGGCCTAGACCAGTGGTGGCCAAATTCTAGACTCATAACAGCCAAAGATTAGCAATACAAAGGTTAAGATTTCTTTTGAGAGCCAAATTCCTTTTCAAAAACCTTATTTTCAAGAGTCAGTTTAAACTAGCTACTAATATTAAATAAAAACAGATATAATAATAATAATAATAATCGTATTTGTTGATAAAAATACTTTTACATTAAAATAAAAATATGGTAAAACCCGTATTTAACGGGAACAATGGTCTTACATTTCTTTATAAAGTTTGCATGAGTCCGATTTTTATGTCGTTGTTTTTGATTTTCAAGCGGGTTTCAAGGTTCTTCGATTTCTCAGTTTACTTTTGATAAGGGTTATGCTTAGAAAAGATTTCTCGCATTAATACGGAGAACCAAAGAGTGAGAGAACAGCAAATGCTAGTTTTTTTTAACTGATCATTGTGAGTCAGAAATAGTATTCCAGGGTTTGCATAATATCATATCTTCCTCTCCAGATCTTTTAAAACCGACAACTTTTGCTGTGAACTACGACCACATTAACTTTTCTCCAATTTTCCCATATCAGCGTTATAGCATTCGGGGCGCTATGCTTCTTTGTTTTCTAACTCCAGTAATTGCATTTCGAAAATGCCAGTGTCACTATAAAAGAAAAAAATTCAGTTCTATTACGCCAGAACTGAGAGGTTTTTTTTTTAATAAACGGTAATGTGGCTATGCTACTTCTGGATTCCTGAAGCCTCCGCAGAAAAGCTTTCCTCATATTTAAAACTGTTCCTTTGAAATAGTAAATGTCATTTGTAGAATTTTTTTCTTGGCGATATTTCAGCAGGCTTGGAAAATGAATTAATGATTCTCCTTCAAAATCTTGAGCAAAAATAGATAATTTGTTTTCGAATGAAATTATTTCTTTAAACATCGAACAAATTGTTTTTTCTTTACCCTGTAGTTTACGGTTAAAATTATCTTTCGAAAATAATATTATCGAATATTTCGAAATAAAATTTTTCAAAACGTTTCCTTTTGAAAGTCAACGTACCTTATAATGCAGCAGAAGTTCTGAGTATTCACTCTGTGTTTCAACATAAAATTCTTTAAACTGGCAAAAATAAACAGCTTTATCTACAGTTGTGTTGACAATCTTGATCACCAAATTCCATAACACTGCAAATGTCTTCTGGAAATGTCTCCGCACAAAGCGCTTTTGATGAATGATGCAGTGATAAACAAATATCTCGTGATTAATTTTTTCCTTCATAACAGAAAAAGCCTTTTCTCATTCCGGTCATACTTTTTGTCTCATCTGGTTTTGAAACTGAAGCAGTTTATCGAGTGGAATATGATGTTTCTCCATGCATTCAGTGACAGCATTTGCAATATCCTCGCCACTTGTTTGACCTTTCAGTAGCAATATTCCTAAAAGTTCTTCTTTAGGAACCGTGAAGAAATAAACTGCACAAAATGTGAAACTTGCATTGTGTCATTTATATCAAAAAAAATTCTCCATCAAGTATTGATAAAGCTGAAACCAACTGAAGATCTTCAACTTGCTTATTGGTTACATTCGAAGATATTTTGACTGTTCTGTCTGTTACTGTTTTAGAAAACAGGGGAAACCCTTTTAATTATTTTTAAAAATTCTGCTTCGTTCTTACAGTCCCGGAATAGCTCTTCGGATGCATTTCTAAAACAACTTTTAATGTGTTCACCGTCTGTGTATGATTTGCCTCTTAGCAGTCTCTTGAATAACAATAAAACTTGCAATATTAACATTGTTAGAAAACTGAACAACTGAATACAGAACATATATTTAGTCTAATTTATAACTAGCAATTATTTTGTACTATAT